AAGATTACCTCCCACAAATATGCAATATCCCGAAGTAGAGCGTCTATCAACTGGGGATCTTGCCCAATCAGAATCTGAGTAGCCAATTACTTCAGTATGACCTTGATTAGTGTACAATAATCCTCTACCAGGAGACCCTTTGATGTACTTCAAGATTCGAATGGTAGCATCTAAGTGACTATCGCATGGAGATTGAAGAAATTGACTCACAACACTTACAACAAAAGAGATATTAGGTTGAGTAGTGTGAGATAGTTAAACTTACCAACCATTCTATAATATCTTTCTATGTCAGCTAATGGCTCCCCCTGTCCCGGAAAAAGCTTCAGATTTGGATCTATGGGAGAGTCTACTGGCTTGCAGTCAGACAAACCAGTTTCTTCAAGAAAATCCAATGCGTACTTCCGTTGTGAAAGAATAATACCATCACGTGATTCAACAATCTCAATACCAAGAAAGCACTTCAATGGTCTCATATCCTTAGTTTGAAAATGCTTAAATAGATGTTGCTTTAACTGAGTGGCCTCTTCTTGATCATTTCCGGTGATAACAATATCATCAACATACATAAGAAGGTATAAACACTTACCACTTGATGTGTGCTTATAAAAGATAGAATGGTCTAATGCACTTCGGATCATGCCAAACTCCTGCATGACACCGCTAAATCGACCGAACCAAGCACGTGGATATTGTTTCAATCCATAAAGCGAAGGACGTAGTTTGCAAACAAAACCAGACTCCCCCTAAGCAACAAATCCAGATGGTTGCCCCGTAGAAATGCATTCTTAATATCAACCTGATGAAGAGGCCAGGAATGCATAGCAGCCAAAGCAATAAAAAAACTGATTGAAGCAGCCATTTCATCTAACATTGCATGTCGCCAACCCTGGTGAGAAAGAGCTTCACGAAGGGATTTAGGAAAGGGGATGAAAGATAAGTTTGACACAAAGGTATAGTACGTGGGAGACAAACGATGAAAACTAAGAAAATTGTAAATGGAATGAGGATTACGAGAAGAACGAGTACCTCGTCGTAACGGTGCAGGATCTGGCAGGATAGGAGCCGCAGGAGAATAAGACAATGGAAAGTCTCGAGAGCCAGGACAGTCGATAGACGCTGGAGGAACATGAGCGGTAGAACCATCGGAAGTATTTTAAGAGACACTAAACTAATTTTGAATTTAAGCATAAAATGTTTCAAAGACAGAAAATAGTTCGGAACGAGCTTTCATCAAATAAAGCCAAGTACATCTTGAGAAGTCATCAACAAAGGTAACAAAGTACTGAAACCCAAATACAGAAGTAGTTCGACACGGACCCCATGTATCAGAGTGGACTAAAGCAAAAGACATATCAACCCTATTCTTAACCTTCCGGGGAAACGAAACGCGAGTTTGTTTTCCTAGTTGACACGACTCACAGGACAATGAAAATAAACTAGAAAGACTTGGAACAAGCCAACGCAACTTTGAGAGACTCGGATGACCCAGCCGTTGGTGTAGTAGTTGAGAATAACTGGCAGTGGAACATGCAATTGGGAGTGAAAGTGGTGGAGGGTGGACAGGGTGGTACAGTCCATGGAGCTCAAGTCCTTTGTCAATCGTCCTCCCCGTTCTGCGGTCCTGAATAGAGAATGAATCATAGTCAAATGTTATTGAGCAGTTCAAAGTTTTGGTTAATTGAGTAACAGAAACAAGATTAAATGGACAATGAAGAACAAAAAGAACAGAGGATAAGGGAACACATAACAATGGTTGAGCATCACCGACAGCCTTAACAGAAACTCGTGACCAATCCGCTAAAGTATCATCAAGTAATGAGGTAGACTTCTGAAATTCGGAAAACAATTTTGGATTACCAGATAGGTGATAAGAGGCGTCAGAATCAAGGACCCATGGTCCAAGAGAGGTACCAGTGTGAGCGACAGAGGCAACGGGTGAATGAGATGACTGTTTTGAAGCTTGGTATGCAAGATACTCCTTATAGTCTGAACCAGTCAAAGTGACAGAATTACCCGATAACCGAGGAGTTTCAACCTGCGCAACAACAGCATGAGGTGGCCGGCCATGCAATTTAAAACATTTATCACGAGTATGGCCTCCCCTATTGCAATAAGTGCAGCGTAAACGAGAGCTCCCATGAGGACTAGGATGATCTCGCATGTGTGAAGAAGGTGAAGCTAGTAGAGCAGACTTGTCTCCAGAATCAATAATCGGATGTGCCACAGAGGAGACACGTAATAAACGAGAATAAACATCATCAAGAGTTGGAACTGTTGAGGAACCGGATTCAAATCTGGACCAAGACCAACTAGTGCACACACCATATAGAATGTATCACGCTTAGCAAGCTCCTCCGCAGCCGTTTTCCCTGGAGGCAAAACTGAATGAGTTCAGTTTTGATGGATGAAAGTTTACCGAGATACTCTGGAATTGTCAATCCGGGTTGACGAAGATTGACCAAATTAGATACCACACTGTAGAGGCGTTGAATATCATTGGTATATAAAGTCTTCACATGTCTCCAGAAATCATACCAATTTGTAAAATTGGTAAAAATTGGATGAAGGCTTGGATCAATAGATTGCGAAAGCCTTAAGCCATGCAATTTTGTCAACAATCTGAGCGGACGAAATAACAAAGTGATTTGCCAAACCTTGACCCATACACCACATTTGGACAGCTTTAGACCAAGAGCCATAGTTAGAAACCCTAATCAATCGTTCGGTAACAATAACCGGGGTTGAAGAAAAAACACCCGTAAAAGAAGTAGAAGCAAACATGTTTGAGGCAATATTTGAATTGAAGAGAACTCTATAAATTCAGAATTACAAAAGCAACAAAAATCTAAGCACAACCTAATAACAATCCAACCTAGGAGGAGAAATCCGTTAATGGACAACCAGACAGAAGAAAGAAGAGAGGACAGCGCGGCGGCGGGCGGCGCAGCGGGGTAGGGTGGATGACGGGATCACGGTGGCTCTGATACCATGAAGAATATCGTTTTTTTTATTATTATTATTAACGTCAAAAGAAAAAGTGATTTTACCATATACGAAATCCTAATATATTAAAATTATATAAAATACCTAAACTGCCCTCATATTATTATAAATACAAAAATACCTTTATACATAATATATCTAACATACAAAAATTATCAATTCCTCTTTTTAAATTCTTCCATTCAACATGAGTAAGTTAATCGTTTTTTTTTTCTTTCCGTCCAATTGCTTCCGTTCAGAGTAATATAGAGTTACTGAATTGGAACTCATGTAGTAGCAACTACATTGTCCCTTGAAGGGACTTTGTATTAGAGTTTTACTTGCATCAAATCTGTGATATTAAACCTTAATTTAGTTAGATGAAAAATTATTTGTCATATTTTGAGAGTTTTATGATTGGAAGTAAAAGAATAAAATAGAAAGAGGGCTTTTCCTATATGTCCGGTAATCATATGTCCATTCAAAATTTTTTCTAGACTTTCTTCTTCCTTCAGATGCAGGGCTGAATTCAGCAGTGCTGAGAAATATTAATTTTGCATGCTAATCATGACACTTTTTTGACTAATCATGACACTTTTTTGACTAATTATGACACTTTGTTGCAAATAAAATTGTTAATTTTGTTGACTGATCATGGTACTTTGCTTGGATATATATTCATTTTGTTGGGAAAAATATTGTCATTTTATGAGTAGCATATCACTTTGTTTTCACCGTACAATTCACGCCCAAACTGAAATTTAGCCATAAGAGTATGAGGGTATTTATGTATGTATGAGTATGACCAGCCTCAATAACTAGGATTGTAAGATGTAACTCCATATTTGGCATGTGAACTTTTCATCACCATATTAATCTATAAATATTCTAAAAAGAATGGAAGCTTTTAGATAAATACCAAACTTCGGGGCTGCTTGAGAAGAACAAGAAACATTAAAAAAAAATATAGAAGAAGGTCTTGTCATAAAAAAACCAACCCACTCCCACTATTTATGTCTCATCTTTAATTTCACTATAAAAATTTGAACCTTAATGTGATTATATGTTTGTAAGTATATGCATGCACATGCTTGTCTATTTTTGGATGATGGAATCTTCTATTCTTTACGTTTCTGTTTATCCCTAATTTATAACCTTGAGTGTGATTATATGTTTGTAAGTATGTATAGACATGCCTGTCTAGTTTTAGATGATGAAATCTCATATGTATGAATATATTTTATATACAGTTTATAATTTTCCATTTATCAATAATTTTTTGATACTGCAAACCTTGAACCTTAATTGTGATTATCATGGGTGTGTTTTTTTGGGAGTTTGGGTTTTGAATAATAAATTTTTGAATTTGAATTATTATTTGATGTGATATAAAAAAATGTTGATAGGATGTTAAATTGTTTTTTTTAGTATAATATAAAAAAATGTAAAATAGGTGTTTGTTTTGATGTTTTTGGAATAAAAAAATTTCATTAATAGTAAGGGTGTGTTTGTTGTTTTGGGTTTTTTTATTTAAATTTTGGTTTAAATAGTATTTTGATATGATATTTTATGATAGGAAATAATGTAATTTAATTGTTTCATTGAGTCTTCAGACTGAATAGGGGAAGATTTAAATTTGAAACTCAAACCAAATACACCCTAAAATTCCTGTAAAGAACTTCAAGCAAACACAGCACATAGGTATACATAGTCTAATTTTAGATGAAATTTCATGTATGCGAATTAATAGTTTTTATACTTTGGATTATCAATAATTTATTGATACTGCAAATTTGAAGGATCCATTTTACTGTGGAGAGGAAAAATAAGATGGAAACATTCAAGATATCATTTATATTGCTAATTTAGCTTCTCATTATTGTATCAAATCTTTGGTATCTTACATAGAGGGATCAAACCCTTTGTCGGAGAAGAGAACGATGCATGATCCAAAACCATATGTATATGTATTGGTATTTGCATCTATGCATGTATGTATACAGATATCAGATTGTTTAGAGATGAAGAGAAGTATCGACAACATCAGTTTTATCAAAGAAATTACGATTCCCCTTTGCATTCAAAGAGAACTGTTGGCCCTTGATGGTTCCGAATCGCGCCCCGTTGAAGTTGAGCCCGAGCTCGAGAGGGTCATTATCGAGAGATGTTTGGGGTATTGAAAAGCTCGTGTTTACCGTTGTTGAGGTGTCTGTACAGCCTTCTTTCATAGACTGAGGTAACAACTCGAGCACCCGTCTCTTTTCTTGAATTTCCTTAACTCTCTGCAGCTTCTTAAACCGCTCCTGCAGCAATACAATTGATGAACCAACAACCGCCTGGTCATTGCTTTCCCTCCCCATACTGAAATTCTCAGGTTCTTCTCTGGTAATGACAAAATAGTCTCTTTTTTTTCAGTAAAATACGGTATGTACAGCGAGTTTCTCCTTCTAAAGAGCTCTCTATAGTTCCTGCTCTGGTAAGTTTGTTTATGTGTGTTTATATATATATATATATATATATATATAGGAAGATGGGGAATGTCGTGTGGTTTGGACAGTGGTATTTGTTCTTGGGGTTGTCGATGAGAGAAGTTCTTGGGATTTTGGGAGATGAGAATCGGGCAGGGGCGATGGAGGAGGCTAGATACAAGAGGAAAAAATGAATGGAACAAGGTTTGTTTGGCTGTAGGCTTGAGAGTTGGGTTTGGGGTTTTGAATGGGAATAGTTTTTTTATCTAGACATAAATAGATGTTTTTAATGTAAAATTATATTTTAGTAAAAAATTAAAAATTACGGCGTTTTGAGATTTTGGGAGATGGAAATGGGGTGGGCACCGGCAGGTTAAATACAAGAGGAAAAAATGAATGGAATAAGGTTTGTTTGGCTGTAGGTTTGGGAGTTGGGTTTGGGGTTTTGAATAGTAAATTTTAAATCGAATAGTTGATTGACCTTGATATAAATAGGCGTAGATGTAATGTTTTGAATGTATAATTAATTGTTAATGTAATAAAAAAAAATAATATGTGTTAGATCTATATTTTTGGAAAAAGGAAAAATAGTGAATAGTAGAATATAAGTTTGAAAGAGGCAGAGAAATAAAGGTGTGTGTAAAGGAGAAAGGGATTTGAATGGAAAAGGGTAAATGGCGAGGGGAAGATGACAAATTGGAGTGTTTGTAGCTTTTGGATGTTTTGGTTGTGAGGAATATATGGTGGGTTAGGGATGATGCTGTTGGTGTCGGCTTCTTCTTTAAATTGAATTAGAGGTGGATTATGCGGGCGTCGGCTTGGCTTGGCTTGAAGTTTTGTGTATTCTTTTGGAGTTTTGTTTTTGGGGGTTTCGTTTTTCGGCACTTTATGAAGTTTTATTTGTTATTGGTGGTTTTGTTTTTGGCTTGTTTTAAGCATTGTGAGTTTTTATTTTTGGTGGTTTTGGATTTTGTTATGCTATCAAGATTCCGGTTGGTTTTGTTGTGTTTGGTGAAGATAAAGGGTGGTGGAAATTTAGAGATATTAGGCTAGCGTTTGGACTAAGTGTTTTTGGTGGGGTGTTTTTTATTTTTTATTTTTAGTAAAAAATTGAATTAAATAGAGGTTATATATGAATTATATATATATATAAGAATTATTGGTTAATAATATGAAAGCATGTTTATAAACATAAACTATTTGGGTCGTTTTGAAATTCGATTTATTAGTAGAAAATGATGCCCCCTAGCATTTAAACATTTGACCTTTGAAAATAAAGGTTTGTTCTTTTAACTTTTTTTTTTCTTTTTTTACGATTTTTAATATATATAATATATTATATTCCCTCGTTATTAAATAAATTATTTATTTTTTTATTTTGGTCTTTTTCATAACAAAGTATACATTTAATTTTTTTTAGTAACCGTACTGTCTATCTAATATTATAAATACCTTTATAATTTAAAATATATTATATAAATGGCATTATTTTATATCAAACATGTTACTCCGTTTTTGGAGTGGAGTTTTATGGTATTTTGTGGTATTTTTTTTATTTTTGTTACTTTTTTTTGGGTATATTGTGTAATTTTTTTAGAAGATGATATATAATTTTATATTTTAAAAGTTATATCTAATTTTATTTTTTTGAAAAATAATGTATAATTTTATTTTTTTAAAACTGATGTATAATTTTATTTTTTGAAAAATTGATATACTTATAATTTTATTTATTTTTAAATAATGTACTCCCTCCATCCACAAAAAAAATATACAATTACTTTTGGCGCGGTGTTTAATAAATAATAGTATTTTAATTATAGTGGGTAGTTAAAAGTAGTGTAATGACATTTTTGCCCTTGCTTTTTGGTGTAAAAGTAATGATGTGATGTAAAGTAGGGGTATTTGTGGAAAAAAAGTAAGGTATTTAATGAAATGTTTACTTTGTAATTGTACGTCCCAAAATAGAAACATGTATACTTTCTAGCTGGACAGAGGGAGTATAATTTTATATCATATTTGACTTGATAGTATTTAATTATTTTTTAAAATTATTTTATTTGTAATAATTATTAATTATAAACGTTAATAGAATATATATGTAATTTTTTAAATAAAATATAAATTATATTTGTATGAATTATAATGTAAAAATAATTAAAGTTAAAGAGTAATTTATAAATACGAAAAGTTATATAAAATAATATAAAAAAAGGAAATATATAGGAAATATATTTTTTAGAGTAAAAATTGAAGTAATGGTTAAAGTAAAAATACTTTAGATCAACCATTTGTACTGTATTGACCGCAAAAATAGAGTAATGGGTTGGAGATGATCTTACTAAAATGTGTCAAAATAAAATGTGTCAAAATAAAATGTAGAGAATATTAGTTTTTATTTTTTAGCAAGCTGACTCGATTCAACATACAATCAGCTTAAAGCCCCCCATTGAGCTCAACTATTACTTCTGTTTTGTTATTGGTTGAGATTGTTGCTGAAATTCTATTATTTGGGCAGATATATTATTTTGTTAGCAACAGAATTATAAAGAATAAAGTAATATAAATACATAATTAAGTATAAATTGATTTTATAGAAAATCAAATAGTTATAAATGTATATAAATAAATATTTTAAAAAACACTTGATATCGAAAATCTCGTAGACAGTGCAAATCATGCCCCATCTAGTGACCAGACACACCCTTGAAAGGGTGAACAGTAATAATAATAATAATAATAATAATAATAATAATAATAATATCCAAAAGAATAAAGTGGATTAAATGGTGTGAATATTAAAACTAAAATCAAACCTCATCAAGTTAAATATTACACCATTATCTAAAAATATGCTCATATATATATATATATATATTCACGTTTTATTATAATCGAATAATAATTTGGATGTCGGAAAAAACTGGTATTCAACAATATTGTTATTACATTAGCATAATGTAGAAGAAACCAAATTAATATTATACCGTGGCGGCTATCGTCTGATATTACACAGTACATAATATTATTACAAACAATATATTGTATATATTAATATAATATAAAAAAATACAGCATATGAACAAAACACACGTGCTATAGTTTCAATATCACACAATATAACTACAAACAGCACCCAGTATTACTACAGACAACATATTGTAAATGTTAATATAATACAAATATAATACATGAATTAAAAACACATGTTATAGTCTCGTACAACCAACACAACAGTTGATTTTAGCACATGACATACTAGTATACAATATACTTGTTATTATTAAAAAAATAGCACATTTTTATTATACATAACATGTGTTGTGTATAATACAAATATGTGTTGTTTGCATATATGAGGTGTGATGATGTTAAAAATCAGCAACCTTCCCCCGATTATATATATGAATGTGTAACAATCCTCTCCTCTATTTGAACTCGACAACTTAACACCTAACACATTCATCAAATTGTCTTAATACTATAAAAATATGTATACATATGTTAGAGAAATAATCCGGATTGAATGAAAATAAGAATAAATCGAATTCCGTATGGTATACACGATCTTAGATATACTTTGAGTCGTGTAGGTCGTTTTCCTTATACGATATTTCGACCCTATTAATACCCCAGGTTATACGAAATTCGTACGAGGATAAAATAAAACAACACTCGAATTTTAGGCGAAAAATCGAGCAAGTAAAATGTTGGGAGATTATTTGCGCACGCAGATTAATTCTGCCGACAAGAATATGCATAATCCTATATTAATATTACAACATGTTATTAGCACGATTGTGTATTTTAATTTTTCCAAGGTACTATTTCATTATTTATCTATTTATTATGATTAACCTTGTCAAATAGGAATTCTATCTTTCCTTGTTTTGGCCAAAACCATATAGCCTATATAGCCTGAGCTCGGGATGTTAAAAGACATCTAGCATCAATGAGATTAGAAAATATTATTGCCCAGGATAAAATTCCCACGAGCCAAGATCGTGTAACTGTCATGATCTTTTTGTATCATTACATCGATGAGACATTGAAAATGCAATATGTGACGCTGGAATCACCACTTAAATTGTGAGAGAAATTGAAAGAATGATACTATCACATGAGACTGACTTTGTTGTCAATGACACGGAGCAAATTGCAAAGCCTACGGCTTTAGGATTTTAAAACAGTTCAAGAATATGATTCTGTCATGTTTGAAATTACATCACAAGTGCGCCACTGTGGCGAAAATATATTTGAATCTTAGAAAACTTTTCCACTTTTCATGTCTCTAATATGGTTTTGCAGCAGCAATATCGTGAAAGAGGCTTCTAGAAATATTCTTAACTAATCGTATGTCTTTTGCTGGCCGAACAAAATAATGAATTGCTGATAAAAAAATCACGAATCTCGGCCGATAGATGCAAATCTATTTCTAGAGAAAAATGCAATACAAGCGGAAAATCCAATGCATGGTCATGAGCATGTCAGAAATTAAAGAATTGATCGTGATCGAAATCGAAATCAGAATCACAGACGTGGCTGGACTAACTCACACAATCACAACAATTACCAGAATAGGCCCTGTATGTGCCAAATCGGTGTTACAATGATAGACGGCCATATAGACCTCAACAGAGGTTTAACATTGAAAGAAACGGAGAAATGATGAGGAATGCACCTAGTGTGGAATCAAAGGTCATTGGACCCCATATTTATCGCACAACCAGTCACTTAGCTGAATTGTATAGGGCCTTAAAAGAAAGGCATGGAAGAATTGCCGCCGAAACAAATCACACTGCCCACGATGACATATTTGATGATGTGTTGAATGAAAATATCATGCACCTAGATGCTGATGATCTGCTTTACATAGCTGATGATGTTAAATG